GAGCTAGAGTTAAACAATTGGGGATGGAACTTCTTTTCTCTCATTCCTCGCTTGTATCTTTCGGCAATTATTATCAGCAACTCGAAACAGACGTGCTGTCCAAGCCACTCACTCCTAGGCCCGTTCAGCCCAAATCTCTCTGACTTCGCATCCCGCAGACAGTCCATAAGTCCATGCAAAGCCGCCAGGCCTCCGTGGGAAGGGTGATAATGGGGGTGGTGGTGGTGGTTGGGGTGGGGATGTGGAAGGGGCGGGCGAAGGAAGTGGTTGGGCGTGAAGCAGGAGGTTAAGGCCCGGGTTTGGGCGGGAGGGGGGATTATTGGGGGATCTGTTTGCTGTAAGGCCGTTGGGGGAGGGGATATTGAGGTATTGTGTGGGGGATGTGGTGGTGTTGCCGAGGCTGAGGGCGTTGTATATGCGCAGGAAAGGGGCGGGTCTGGGGACGACGGAGTTGGTGCTGAGGGAAAGCTGGCGGAGAGTGGAGGCCGCGATCGAGGGGGTTCAGTGTGATCCGAAGGATATGGCGTTGTGGCCGACGGTGGTGCGTTATTGATACCCTTGTGTCGGCTGCTGCTGGCGGGTGCCAAAGGACTTGGATGGGTTTGGTTCACTACCTCAAATGTGCGGCGCTGAATACATATACCTATCTTACCTAGGTACCTAGTTAATTGATAGTATTAGTTATTACAAGTGAGTACATTAGTGAACAAGATGCTACGCCTCTCCGTCTTTCAATCCCATTCCGTCCATCCCTCTTTCACCCCTTCGTCAAGGCGACATCAGTGCCAAAACCCTAAACGTCACCAGCTCATACCCGACCACCATCGCATACAAGTTCAGTCTAATTTTGGTTGCTGGCTGGCGCCCTCTCCACTCTTGGCCTTTCTAAAAGCCTGCATCAAGTTGATGGCCACCTGTGCACTCACGCCCTCCTCCACCTGCTTCGCAAAGAAGGCATCACTGCTCGTGGCCCGGATCGATCTCCCGCGTTCCCTTTCCGCAGGCGTCACCATGAGATTGGCACGTCGGTTCGCCTCGATCTCCTCCAAGTGCTTGACCCGCGAGAGATACTGCGCATTCCGCTGCTTGCGGATCTGCTCCGAGCCAATGCGGTCAAGAAGGAAGCGCACCATGGCGCGTAACATGAGGAATATATGCTCGCTGATAAAGACGGTGATGGGGAGAGCCCACCACGCCCCTCCGGCGATGGTGTTAGGGCTGTACAGGTGCACGATGGCGCCGGTCGAGATGCTTCCGGCCCACGCAAGAAAGTCAAGCGAGGCAATCCAGGGGCCGATGCCGTCCGTTCGGATGGGGGCGGGACGCTGATGTCCTTGCGTCAACTTGAAGAAATCGGTTCGAAGCTCGATAATGTTGTTGAGGAAAAAGCCGATCGAGATTAAGGGCCACACGGGAGAGAAAAGAGCCAAGGTCCCGAACTGGAGGGCGATCTCGGCAATGTCGTCTTGGACGTTATACGGCTCTAGTGCTGCTTGCCTGCGCGCGCTGTCGAGGAGTTCCATTTCGTTCGGGTCATCATTGGCGATCGAGGAGAAGTCGGAGGATTCGGCCTTGGTGGTGCGGAAGTTACGGTACCATTCAAAGAATTTACGCTTGAGAATAGGCAACAGGTTCTCCTCGAAAAATGACGAGAGTTGGCCAGAAACCGTCAACGCAATGATCTCGGTACGTAACCTGTCGCCGTCAATGTGATGAGTGTGGCCGAGGTGCTTCGACACGTAGGAACCGCCAAACTTTCTAGCGAGAGACTCGAGAAGAGGAATGAGCTGGTCGCCGAATGGAACATAGAGAAAGGCAGTGATGAAGATAGGGAGGTAGTTCGTGATAATCTGAAGAAAGAAAAACTTTTGCGTGCGTGACATGTCGTAGTTGTCCGCGGTCCGGTGGTTTTCAAAATCCGTAATGAGGGTAGCGATGTTCTCGAGGTAGCTGTTGATCTGCGGCAGGGCAACGCCGAGCAGGATTGTAGGAACGTATTCCTGATGCTGTTAACATTGGGGATACCGATGGGATCACGGAGGGCGCTTACAATGACGTTCTTGTACGGCCCGTTGTAGCCTTCAGAGACCAATGTCTCGAGAGCGAACACGCCGAGTATGATGATGCTCAAGACCAGAGTGGCTGCCGCCATGACTGGAATCTGTAGGAGCTGGCGCAAGACCTGCTTCCGCTTCGAAACGTAATGCCTCTTTCGACCGGTACTGTCCACGATGACTCTCTCCCATCGGAACTGGGGCCGGTTGACCTTGACAGTACCCACACCCTTGACATCCCATCTGATGCTGAGGTCGATCTGCTGAATCTTCCAATACTCAAGAAAAATGGTACACCACACAGTGGTGAGGATGGCGTACGTGGGGGAATAGGTGGGCAAGAATTGCCATGCGATGAGCCCGGTGAGGGCAGGGAATGTGAGGAAAACGACGTAGGTTTGGATGAAGGCAAAGTAAAAAGCAACCTGGTACGCGTAAGCCGCCGGGTCTCGGTTAATAAGGAGGGCAACAAATTACCTTGGTTCCGAACAGATTCCGGATCTGGTCGAGGTCAAAGCCAGTCAGGAAGAACCGGCTGCTCAGGTGTTTCAAGAGGGACAGGTTGGTGGCTTCGTCGTGCAGAGGAAAGATGCTATCGACGTTCTCCCACTGGCCCCAGCCCGGAGTGATGCCGGCACCGCCATTTGACTTGGGCCAGTTCACCAAATGGTACATAGACAGGACATCCTCAGCTTCGAATGCGCCGTCGACGACAGCATCTTTCGCTCCACCGGGGTGAGTCTGGACGATTCCATACAGCCAATCTTTGAGTCTGGCATAGCGGTCGTGAGTGGATTGCCTGGGGCGAGGAACGGGGGGTTTTGGAATACGCACCGAGAATTGTAAACGTAACTTCCCAGAACCTTCCGCGGAGCCTTGACAAAGGCTAAAAGAGTGTGGTCATGCCGGGCCCGCAGATTTGTGGGAGGCCCTGCCAACTCAAAGTCGTGAACCAGCGCAGTTACTTTCCTGTTGGCAACGTCGGAGTCGATCCCAATCAAATTCGAGTGTAAGTGGGAAGAGGAGCTTTAGTATCTTACCCAGGTCAATATAATTTAGACGATCAGGTATGGTCTGGTACCGCTGTCCCTGGGTGTGAGATCGATCCTGTGTGAATAGCAGGGAATTCCATCCCTGGGGGTGGTGAGGAAGACTGGGAATAGTTGTCGACCCTTGGTCGGCTATGCCCCACGTTTCTAAAAGGAGAAGAGAAGGAAGGTGAGCGGATTAGGTTCCAATAATCTCGCTGAAAAAAAGAGAGACAAGAAAAGAGAATTCCAAGACCGGGCCGGAATTAACCAACACGTCAGCAGATCCACAATGTGGGGAAGATGTACGAGCCAAGGTCTTGTCAAAGGTTGTTGGATGCCGCTGGATGCGTGGAAGTACACAGTAAGCGTTTCGGGCCGGATCACGGTGTAGAGCGGCACAGGAAAGGCTGACGACCGAAACCTCACTCGGCGATGACAGTTCTATAGGTTGTTGCTACCAACTTATAAAGAGCTTTGCGCCCGCCCTTTTTTCCACCCGGCGTACTTGCGGTAAATGTCATGGCGGAACGTCTGCTTCAAGCCCTCTACCGTGGCGCCTGCGAGAGGGAGCGACGGTTGTATGGCACCAAGTCCGCAGAGGTCATTCTTGCGATCGATAAACCAGGCAAAGGACATACCTCCGCCCCAAGACATGGTCTTTTCGCCGTACCAGCCCTCCTGATCCTCCAGCGTGAGTAGGCCGCCGAAACCGTGACCCAGTTTCTTGTCTCCGTCCACTCCCACCCGGAAATAAACCCCAGCAGGGCCATGCACCACGGCACGGTGCCCCTCGGCTGCGTCAGGGCCGATATGGTTTTCAAACATCATCTTCACCGTCTCCGGCCGGAGCAGCTTCCCATCGTTAGCCAACAGTGACCGCAACACCTTGACATAACCCTCCCCCGTCATAAACATGCCATGCCCCCCAAAATCCCCCTGACTACGCCTATTCATATCCCCACCACCACCCAACACCGCGCGGCCCACTCCCTCCGGATCCTCCGGATTCAGATCCACCAGGCGCGCCCGCACCCCATCGCCCCTCACAGGATAAAACTGGGCATCATCCGGCGCAATCCCCAACGGCGCCGCAATCCGCCTCCGCACATAATCCCCCAGCGTGACCCCCGTCACCCGCTCCACCACGCGCCCGGCCCAGTCCAGCCCGGGCCCATACATCCACCCGGTGCCCGGCTGGAACGCCAGCGGGTAGGCAAAGGCCTCCTCGACGGGCCGGCGCGCGCCCTCGGCCAGGGGCGCCTCGTTCTTGCGCCGCCACTGCGCCAGCCGCGGAACGAGGAAGTCGTAGCTCAGTCCCGACGTGTGCGTGAGCAGCATGGCGAGCGTGATGGGCCGCTGCGCGGGGACGGGCTCAGCCCCCTCGTCGTCGTCGGTGAGGACGGGCAGGCGAGAGAACTCGGGTGCGTGCGGGGATAGGTCGCCGGTGAGGGAGAGCAGGCCGTCCTCGACGCACTGCAGCGCGGCGATGGTGGCGAGGAGCTTGGTGGCCGAGGCGAGGTAGAGCATGTCGTCGAGTTGATGGGGGCGCTTTTCCCCTGACAGGAGCGTGCGCTCGCCGAGCGTGGCATTGTACGTGAACTCGCCGGAGGCGTTGGTCGCGCAGATGACGCCGCCTTTGATCTCTCCTGAGGCGATGGCCCTTTGGAAAGCGGGCTCGATGCTCTCCGAGGCCATGATGGGTGTGGCGTTGAGTGAGAGGAGTGTTGATGGGTGTGGTGCTTGGGAGTCTTCTTGTCTTAGAGAGAAAGAGGGGGAGCGGCGGAGGGGTTACTTGTTTCGGTGAATCAGAGATCTACGCGCATATCCACCCGGCAACTCAAGCCGCTAACGCTTACTTCAGCAGGTGACGCGGCCTTTTCCGTGCTGGCGGGAGCCAGTCTCCCGAAAAGCCGGGCTTAAGTGTAGTCACACTGAGACAGGTGCGTGGCGCAGCGGCTTCTCATTTTCCCAGCTGTCTTGAATATATCAAAGGGGATCTTGGCTGTTGAGATCGGAAGCTTCCTAGTGCACAATAGGTAGGTATGTTTTGCTATGTCCGGTGGGGAACTTACCAGGTAGTTACCGAGTGCAGCATATCACTCTCTGGCGACTTGGGTAGGTACCTTACCTCAATGGAGCCAACCTCGACAAGGATTCAAGAAAAAAAGTGAAGAAAAAGAAAAGCGCACAAAACGAGTCAAATAAAAAGAGTTCAGAAATAAATGAGAAGAAGTAGGCAGATGAACACGGTCCCTTTTGACTCCCTGAGGAATTTCGTCTTGTCGAGATTTGGTCGACATCCGCACTTGGGAGCTCCGCTTTTTGCAAATGGGGCGAAGGATTCCCCTACTGGCAGTAAGATGCATGTATAAATGACGAGAGCTTACCCGCTCATCTCATGCTTGAGTATCATGCAATGATTTTCTCTGGGTTTGGTAAGTCCGAGCCTGCAGGGTAATGATTCCGTCTTCGGATTAGAAGAACCATTTGCGTGAATTACGCCGCCATTGGTTGCATTTGGGCGGTCATACCTAGGAAGTTGGTTGAAACGGAGAGAAAGCCGAGAAGCTGCCTCTTTATAGCGTACAAACGAATAGTTGTGTTTCTCAGCCATCTTCGGGCAAAGAACAGTCCCCCTTTTCCATCAGTTTCCGAAGAGGAGCTACCACCCCGACTCAGGGGTTCAGCTACGTCGATTTACAAGTTGGAAAGTCAAAGAACATCTCTGCACAACCGCTCATAGAATTCGATTGATTCCAAAGAGTCTGGATTCCTTCCCCAACTTCTATGCCTACCCGGTTGACCCTTTTTGGTCATCTGTTTCACACCTTTTTTTCTCATAGGTCACCTTGTGACCGCGCGCGTCAGCGCTAGATACTGTCTTGGTCCAGTGGCATGTGTGATGAGCCTGCATGGCTAAGGGGCCAGCTCGGACCTCGTCTCGCGTCCCAAAGTAAGGACTCGCTTGATTAAGATGCTTACCTTTTGGGAGAAGAATGTGTGCAACCCTATCGACCACAGCTAATTGAAGTTGTTTTTGGGTTATTTCTCTCCGCTTTCACTATCGCAGGAGCATTCAGAATTCTGCGAACGTTCAATCACACCCAAACCTACTAGGCACCCCTGGGGACTATTGAGGCTGGCTGTTCGATGATGGAGGGTGAAGTTGCCTTCGCTACCATATTCAGAGCCCTGTCAATTCCCAAGTGATACGGGCTGGGCAACTGTTGCAGGGGTCGGGGACAGATGTGATGTGTCACCTGGCTCAAACTTTGGATAGGATGCGACTATTGACACAGTGATGCGTGAATAGCATGTAGGCTCTCCTCATCGAACAGCGAACCATGATTCTCTGCTGTCAAGACTGTGTGAGTAGCCGCCTCTCGGCCAACGCACGTGCAAGCAACCAGACTCTGAATCTGAAGTGTGTATGACCTTGTCTATAAGAAGGTCTCCTTTCCGCCGCTTAGCAGCTCACTTCCATCCACAAGGGACCCTGTAAACCTATCAACTTATCCATCTACTTCCAGCTTTTTTTCAGAACACCAACCAAAAATCATCAACATGCAACTCTCTACCATCGTCGCCGGCGCTGCCGCTCTCTTCTCCGCCACCACGTCCGCCTCTCCCGTGGAAGCCCGCGCCACCAGCGTTAACATCAACCCTTTCGCTCTCTCCTGCACCGCAACCCAGTGCACGTAAGACTGCCCCCATCCCCACCCATCCAATCCCAACAAATCAACCTAACACGTAACCCAGCTGGACCCTCAACTACACTCTCATCCCCGAGAACACGGGCGCCGCCTGCAGCTTCGTGACGTCGGGCGGCACGATCCCCACCACCATCGGCACGGCCATTGGTCCCTTTGCCTGCTCGCCGTCGGACCCCAACGTCCGCGTCCGCATCCAGGTGGTCTCGGGCCAATACCGCCTGTTGATCTCCCAAGTCGGCTCGCCGACGTCCAACTTTGACTACTTCCTGCCGTCGTCTGACTTCCCAGGCGGTAATAGCTACACGGGCCCGTCGAGCTTTGTTGCTCTGTGAGGGCAAAGGAGACGGAGGAGGCCTAGGGTGAAGGGTACAAGTGATGTTCTACAGTTCTTATAGCGGCTTGCAAATTGAAGTTGAACTCAACCTTCATTGGTCTAAGCAGCATCACTGAAACAACCTAAGTAACCAGTTGATAATCTGGATTCCGCTGTATTTATGCGAGTCATATCACACGTTACAAGTGCGCAGTGAATAAGGTATACCTCTCATCCCGCGTCTTCTTTGGAAGGTCCACGAGACCCTTGCAGTTTCCAAGGCCTTGGGGGTATTTGCGACTCTGGATTTGTCTGCAAAAATTCCGACTCCCGTCTTAGCATGCTGTAAGCGGTCTGGTATTTATGAAGTTGGCGATGGTGGCGGCAACGTATATCATCATACGACCGAGATTAGGTCTATACATGTACTGGGCAACGTCGAAGTATGAACCAATAAAGCGCCCCAAACCATACACATGTTTCGGGCCGGCGTTGCAGAATGTTCTGGGATCAGACTCGGGAGGGAGGAGACACTCGGGATGCTCGCGGACTCAAGCCTTTAAGCCTTGCATGCTTATTTTCCCTGCCATTGGGCGAATTTACCCCGCCCGAACACGTCAAGAGCTGTTAAAACCCCAGGTTGACACTTCCTGTCCTCTTGTGCGTTGTCCATCCACTCAAAAACTGCAGGTTGGCAAAAGTTCAACCGGATGGTGGGCTAGACCCCAGGGCCCTATCTGCTCCGGCGGCGGCGCTGATGGCCGAGGAAGAGGACTGGGCAGTCTTTCGGCGTTTCAACGAATTCAACTTGCTGAATCTGCTGGTTTTACAAGACGAGGTTTAGAAGTTGACTGACCAGTTCAAACAATTATATCCACAAACAACTACTCCCGGGGACGGGAGCCCCAATGCCTGGTACATGCCGGCCCACCCGCTCGCCTCGAATAACGACCCTTTTCCTCAAACTTAGGCACAAGATATCCTGGAAACGGCACGAAGAAATGTGTGGAAGAACTTGAAGGAGAAACTCAGGGAATACAGTGAGCCAAGGAGAACCTGCCTACACGCCAGACACCTGGCAAGGATCAGGACATTGCAGTATCTAACTAACTTCGTGTGTTACTTTTCCCCATCATCACAGAGAGCGCCCTGTTGGAGATGGCCCATCTAAAAAACCTAGAGCCACCAAGCCCCGAGAATATCAAGCGTCTCAGACGAGAACTCGATGAGTTAGCATCTCAATCCGTCTTCCCTGAAGAGGCGACGAGATGCTGGGAGCCCGCAAATGACGACGATTTTGTTGTTCTCCGGGGTGCAGTCGACAAAAAACGGTCGACTGAACACATGGATCAGATTGGGTATTGAGATATTCAAGTGGGAGTTATGGGGCAGACGCAAAGCATGTTCTTTACTTATCTGCGCTACGGTCCTCGTGTCCTCCATGTCATCAACGTTCTACTAACCACGTATCGTCGTAGGCCACGACCGCTACCGTGTCGGACGCGCCACCGGTCATTGTGCTGGGGAAGAAGCGGCCTCGCATGATCCGGGCAGAGATGGCTAGAAAACACGCCTTTGCCTCGCGCTTCACCATGGCTCTCTTTGGCGGCATCGCCCTCATCTTGCCCACGATCGTCATGTCCAAGGTCCAGAGCACCAATGTTAGCCTCATCACCACCTCGGTTGCCGTCTTTCTATTCGGCCTCGCACTTGCGTCTGGTGCCACGGACAGCACAGGAAAGGATGTTTTGACCGCAACAGCTGCCTATACGGCTGTTTTGGTTGTGTTTGTGGGTACGAGTTTGGAGAGTGGCGATGCCTCAGCTAACCTGAGTGCTTCGGGGAGCACAACGATATAAAGGCAGTCAGTCATCAAGGCCAACATGTAATCTAACCAATGTCAACTACCGAACTACTTCTCGTCCTACTCGGGCCGTCTTTGTTAATTATCTAGTTTGCTGTGTGGTGTATGTAGTCCTCTCCTTGGATACAAGACGCCGGAATGGATAGGTATGAGCATACTATGATCATCGCTGCCTTTGCTACAGTCACGGACACTTTCACAAAGATACCTCGAGGCAGCTAGGTAATAGCAAAAGCTGTAGCCAAACCCGCCCATGTAGGTAAGAGCCTGGCTGAACCATCAAGGACAGCATACGTACCAACCCTAACCCCAAGCCATTGGGCACTTCACGCTGCCGGATCTTGCATCGGTCACATCCACAAAAAGCAAAAGCTCGATCTCGGCCCAACCCCAACCCCATGTTACACAATTCCGTGCTGTCGGTGAATGGTAGCGTTGATCTCTGGTTGCCCAGCCTTCAATCCCATTCAATCCCTGTGAACTATCGTCGCCAGCCTTGAGACATCGGAGATGGGAATATTTATGGCTTTCGTTCAACATTTCGATGCGCTGAATTGAGTTGCGGCAATCACCGATTTTATTTTAGCGCCCGTCTTCCTTCTCCCGGTTCGTGGCATTTTGGATTCGGCGATGCATGCAGGCTGCAGGTCCCTGCAAATCCCGATGCTCCAGCACATCGTTGGCGCAGCCTGCTGTGGCTTGGAAGGGTCCGCACTCATTCCCCAGGACATGCCAGATTCGCAATTGATTGGCAGCCAGCCGCTGCTGAAAAAGTGAGACACCCACAATTCCCGGGAGGGCTTCTCGCCAAGCTGACTGAGCCCAGGGAAGGCGTGGGAACCCAAGGGGGTTGGTGGGGAACTTTTCTTCTGCTGGTTTCTGCGATCCTGCGGTCTGATTTTGCGCTCGCTCGCCACATATGACACGCCCACTTCTCCCTCTCCACACAAGAGTCAAGACCATCCCGAGCTAGTGTACGAATAGCTTAACGGTCAACAACCACCAACGCACACCATGTCGCAGCCGCCCTATCGCGAATCCCCGTCGTGATTGTAGCGCGCGACGATGGATTGGGTTACCCAGATTGTCCATCTCGAGCGACGAGTGCTCGGCATTGTAGGTTTTACTTTTACGTTTACTTGTTGTGTCTTTCAATGTCTGCGGTGGTGCCTGGCATGGTGTGCCGCTTGCGCCACCCATCGGGAATCCAGGGTCCGATTGATGTCATCAAGTGCCTGTTGATTGTTTGCTTTCTTGCTTACTTGCTCTGTCCCTTGGTTGCACAGTGTGCCCAGATGCTAGCTCTTGTGATGATGAGAATGATGGTGGGGCTGACGTGTTGACAGAACGAGAGTGATGATGGGCGCATTGGATCCGGTCGCAACGATAGCGATGGCGGCGGCACCCTCGTCAACTTCAATCCGGCCGGCGATGACAAAAAGTCCGAGTCGCTAGCTTCCCTCGGAAGCACCTTCATCCCCGTCGTCATCTACTCGGCCATCTGCTTCCTCATCTTCTTCGTCTTCCGCCGGAAATGCCACCGTGTTTACGCCGCGAGGACCCTGCCGTCCCTCCGTGAGCCAGAGTGAGTAGCCGCCGTGTGCAGCTCACCGCCGTGTCCGTCCCCTGTAGCTCACGAGGTGTATCGTAGAACCCCGAGCCCTGAGCTCCCCGACGGCTGGTTCAACTGGATCAAGCCCTTCTTCGCCATCAAGGATGACTACATCCTCAACAATTGCTCCCTAGATGGCTTCTTTTTCCTCCGCTTCCTCCGCATGCTCTCCATCATCTGCCTTGCCGGCGTCGTCGTTGTCTGGCCTGTCCTGCTTCCCATCAACGCCACCGGCGCCAGCGGACTCCTCGAGCTGGATTCCCTAACCATCGGCAATGTCAAGCTTGCCAGCAAGTACTACGCCCATGTTCTCGTCGCATGGTGCTTTTTCGGTTCGTGGTTGATAGGCTTCGGTGCCGGTGACCCTACTAACCCTCGCCGCAGGTTTCGTCTTGTTCATGATTTGCCGCGAATGCATCTACTATGTCAACCTCCGGCAAGCTTATCTGCTCTCGCCAAATTACTCGAAACGGCTCTCCTCCAGGACCGTCTTGTTCACTTGCATCCCGAAACCCTACCTGGAAGAGGCCACGTTGCGAAAGGTATTTGGCGATTCGGCCAAAAACATCTGGATTGTCAAGGACACGAGCGCCGTGCGCGCCCTTGTCGAGGACCGCGAAGAAACTGCCGATCGGTTGCAGCAAGCAGAGGTTAGGCTCATCAGGCTGGCGAACGCCTCGCGTCAAAGGCATCTCAACAAGTATCCGGCTGCCTCCACGTTAAACAACCATCTCAACGAAACCGATGCCAATTCGCCTCGGCCTTCACAAAATGAAGCCGAAAAGGGGCACGTCATCGACACCTCTGAACGTTTTACCGACCGTCAACTGTCCGTTTCTGATAGCCCAACCTTGGCAAAGGCACCAGATCCCGAGTACACGCACCCGTACGGCCTAGACCCATCGCTACCGGATGTTAGAGGCTCTGTGGCCGCCCTGTGGCTGCCGGTGCAATCCCGACCTCACCACCGCCCGCTTCGGAACTTTGGGCGCCGGGTTGATACCATCCGGTGGACCAGGGCGAGGCTGAAGGTACTCAACAAAGATATCTGGAAGCTCCGCCGGAAGTTTCGCGGAGGAGATGGCTCCCCGCTCAACGCGGCCTTTATCGAATTCGACTCACAAGCCAGTGCCCAAGCAGGGTTCCAGATCTTAGCCCACCACCAGCCGCTGCATATGTCACCCTGCTATATCGGCCTCCAGCCCGACGAGATCATCTGGAGTACACTGCGGATCCGTTGGTGGGAGCACATCATGCGCCGTTTCTTTATGATGGGCGTCATCGCCGTTGCCATCGTCTTTTGGTCCATTCCTGCCGCCCTCGCGGGTATGGTGACCAATATCAAATCCCTCAGCGAGACAATATTTTTCCTCGAATGGGTTATGCTACTTCCCGGTCCGATCCTAGGCGTCATTCAAGGTCTTTTACCGGCGCTCGCCCTCTCCTGGCTGATGGCGGCCGTCCCATGGATGCTCAGGGGTTGTGCTAGGGTCGCCGGCGTGCCCTCCCGTGCTCTGGTGGAGCTGTACGTGCAGCACGCCTACTTCTTTTTCCAGGTCGTACAGGTCTTCCTCGTTACCACACTCACCTCGGCTGCCTCGGCGGCCGTCTTCGACATCATCCAGAACCCGCTCATGGTGAAGGACATGCTGTCTGAGAACCTGCCCAAGGCGTCCAACTTTTATCTGTCGTACATTCTCATCCAGTGCCTCGCTGCCGGTACTACAAGGCTCGCCAACGTTGGTGACCTCATCCGGCACGAAGTCATCGCGAAAACGCTTCCGAATCCGAGACGACGCTTCTACCGCTGGCGCAAGATGCGGGAGGTCCACTGGGGTAGTGAATTCCCTCGCTTTACCAACCTAGGTGTAATCGGTTAGTTCTTTTCATCTTCATCGCGCGAAGCCCCTGCTAACGCTATGCTAGCTATCAGTTATTCCTGCATCGCACCCATGGTCTTGGTCTTTGCGGGGCTCGGCATGTTTTTCACCAGCTACATCTACCGCTACAACCTGATTTATGTCTATGACACGGGTCCTGATAGCAAAGGGCTCTTCTACCCACGCGCACTCATGCAACTCATGACTGGGCTCTACATCGCCGAGATCTGCCTCATCGGCCTCTTCGCCTTGAAGTCCTCGGTCGGCCCGTTGCTCCTGATGGCCATCTTCCTCGGTTTCACCGCACTCGTGCACATCTCACTCAGCGAAGCCATGACACCACTCCTCAACAAACTCCCGCGCACGCTGGCCCTCGAAAAGGACATGGGCCCCATCGCACAAGACGAGCAGCCGGGTGACGACACCGCCCAGCCAGCGCCATACCCGACCGGCGGCCTGGCCGCGGACTACTACAACATGACCGACGACGACTCGGACAGCCTACCAGGCGACGCGCCGAACCACGACCTCGACACCGACATCCAACTCCGCGGCATCGAAGGCAGCAGCAGCCTGAAATACCAACTCACCCAATGGAGCAAATCCCTCTTCAAATCCACCTTCACCACGTCTCCACAACCTTCCAACTCCCCCCACACCACCAACCCCCCCAGCAACACCAGCCGCCTCACCCGCATCCTCACGCACATCAAACTCTCCATCACCCCGGACCCCTCCCGCCCGCCCAACATGCTGCTCACCTTCCTGCACCCGGAGATCTACCAATCCTTCCGCCTCCTCCAACCCCGCATCAACCCGGGCCCGGACCCCGACGCCCACCCCCTGCCCGCCGACTACGCCAAGCGCGCCTACTGGCCGCCCGAGATGTGGACGCCCGTCCCACGCCTCTGGCTGCCCCGCGACGACGCCCGCGTCAGTCGCCAGGAGGTGGCCCATTGTGTTGGGGCGGTGGCCGCCGCGAGTGATAGGGCTTGTTGGTTGGCGGATACGACGACGGCGGGGAAGCGGGCAAGGAGGAGATGGGGGGGGAGGGTTGGTGGTGGGGGGGT